GGCAGCCCAAGTCCTGGCAGAAATTGAGGGGCAGATGATAGTTTTCTCTGGGCTTGGAGTCTTCCCAAGGGTTGCGGGAGGCCCTTCTGACAGGTGCTGGAAGACACTGCTGGAGCTTTTCCCTTGTGCCTTGCAAGTGTTTCCTTTGGGAAGGTGGACACAGGCACACAGCGTAAAACGAAATATGGGCACAGTAGAGCTCTCTATGTGACAGAGATGCAGAGGTAAGCTTGCCCTGTTCTCGTCTCCTCCAGAGCCTGGCAGCTGAAGAAGCCACGGTGGTTGCCGCCCTGCCACAAGGTGAGCCTGCTGGGGACTCGGGAGCCTTGCTTTGTGCCAGGGCTGCTGGGGGATAGGTAATTCCCTCTTGTGGAGCTGAGCCCAAAGGCCCTGGTAGAGAAGAGCCACGGGACAAAAGACGGGACGAACGCAGAGACACCTGCTGTGTGCAGAAGACCCTGGGCCAAAGGAGGCTCCTGGGCAGCCAGAGGGAGTGGGTTGGGGCCTGCCTCAGTTTTTTCCAGTCCCAGTGGGCTTCCTCTGCTGTCCCCCAGGTAGCCAGGAGCTTGTCCAGGAGAGTAGCAAATCTTGTGAGGCCAAGGTCCTCCGGAAAATGGAAAGTGAGCTGCCTGCTGATGTCTACCTGCCAGGTAAGGGCCCGCAGGGCACGTAAGGAGTGCAGCCTGGGTCTTGGGGCTCCTTCCTTGCAGCTGACAGGAAAGAGCCCAGCTTCTTTCCCCTTCCTTTTCCTGCTTTCCTTGCTTCTGTAACTTCCTGGGGGCTGGGTCTGCCCACTTGGCCCTTCTAGCTTTCCTCCACAAGGAAGATGGAGCCGCTGCAGGCACCTTGCAGGTCAATGTAAGAGGCCCAGCTGTGTGTTCTGGGTCCAAAGAGGGCAAGAAGCAGTGGCTCAAGACGGGGCCTGGTCAGTGTCTGTTTGCGGGCAGGGTGGGGCAGATGGGAACCATTCCCTCTTGGAGCACCACGTTTGGCCAGGCAAGGGACGTCATCTATTCTGAGCTTTTTTTTCTAACTTCTCCCTCCTTTCTGTCTGCCCTCCGGCCCTGCCCCGCCTGGGCAGCCCTTGGCCCGGATGCCTGCTCTGTTGGGATAGAAGAGTAAGCCGGTACGTCTTCACTTTCCTTCCTGCGCGTCAGCAGACACCTTCTCCGAGGCTGGGCTGGGAAAGGGCAGCCACAATTGGGTGGGTGCTCATTCTCGGCTGCAGGAAGCCTCGAGTTTGGTTGCCCCCTTCTGCCCATCGCCATCCAGGGAGGATGAAACGGGCCCGGCTTTTCCAGCATCTTTGCAGTACCCAAGCAGCTTCTCTCTGCAGTTTGGCTCCCTCCAGCCTCCCTGCAGCCCCAGGAGCATCAGGGTGACCACACTGCCGAGCTGCCTGTTCCCTTCTCCAGGGTCTTCTGACTTCACCGGTGCCCTCCCAAACCGTGGGAGCAGCAATTCCGGGCAGCCCTTCCTTTTCCTTCAGCCTCACCTCTGTGTTGAAAGTGGGCCAAACCTGTCCTAAGTACCTGGCCGAAGAATCAAACTCCAAGCACCGAGACCACCCACCTGCAAGAAGCCAGCCCCCCTTTCCCCTCCCTCCTGCCCAGAAGGGACACAGCTTCAGACACAGCAAGATGGACACATTTGTCTTCTTTGGGCCGGTCTCAGGCCAGCACCCTCTCTTTTCTGGATATGTGTCTCTGTATAGACATGCATGACCCCTTTGTAGTCGTGATGGGAAAGGCCTCTTCCTGGTCTGCTGCCATGGACTGTCCTCTCCCCAGTGGGGACCCTTTTCAAGCCTCTGCTCTCTTGCTTAACTTAACCATTCTTGGATGCAGTCAGCCACTTGGGGCCTCTGCAAGAGCAGCTGGGGTGAAGTGGCTCCCCACATCCAGGCCTGCGAGTTACAGGGCTGTTCTTCCCATCTCCCCGCCAGGTGCAGCATCCACCACCTGCTGATTGTAGCCACGGTTCTGGGACTTTCTCCCCCTCCAGGCCGGCCCTCATGACTTGTGCAGGAGGTCCCTTACTCTGCTGCCAGCCACTCTCCCCTGCCCTCCCCACGAGTCTCTTCTAGTGCCTGTCTTCTTTCCACACCTAGAAGGTGTGTTCCTATATTTATAGTAATAAACCTTTTGGTGTCACTTTCTGGTGATGCTCATCATTTGGAGCAAAGGAACGGAGCTGTTGGCTTGTCAGTTGTTTGAGATAATCCAGAGCAGGAAACCAAAAGGGACTGTGGACACTTCCACATCCTAGGCCTTCCTGGAAGCAGAATTAAAAGGTTTTGGCAACTGAACTGCCAAGAGGGGTTTGTGTTTAAAGTGAATGATGGTTGCCCAGGCTGTTCAGTAAACAGAAGGCAACGCCAATAGCATTTTGGGCAAAAATGGTATTTTCCTTTATTCACCATCTCTTAATGGACAAAACCCAGATTTAGAAAAAGCTGGATTTCCTGCTCTGTAGAAAGCAGAGGCTGCTCAGGGAGCACAAATCTTACTTAGCCCTTCCCTGCCTTGCCCTTCATCTTCTGCATGTTGGCAAGTGGAGGACTGCAAGTGTGTTGAGTGAAAGTGTCAGACTTCACCAACCACTTCCACACCTGACACATCCCTCTGGCAAACAGCAGGGCTAAACCTCTGGCTTCAGTGAGTGCTGGGGAGGGCTACCCTATTCTGTCCCCCAAATCCTGTCCTCCAGAGCAGCACGCTGCAGATGAATAGGATCCAAATTCCCCCCCCCCCCAGTGCCATTCAATTCAGTTTCCGCAAAACTCAGCACCCTCCTTCCACAGCCAAAATTTTAACCCTAATTTCACTGCTTCTACTTCTGAGGGTTCAGCTGCTGGGAGGATTTGCAAGAAGAGCGTTTCCAGTTGCATCTCCTGGAATCAACAGCCCACTATTTAAAGACAGACTTCAACTCCCTGTGATTATTTCTGAAAGAATTACTAGCTGGATACGGTTCAGTGCAAAAATGGAAGAAAGGTTGCCAAAATCTGGTCTCGCTCAGTGCTCCCGCTAAGTTCCACTTCTGCTGCCCAGCTGACTTGCTGCTCCCAGAGCATCTCCGCCAAGTTTAAAGACAACACTGGAGAATCACAAAAAAAACAAACCATTTTAATCCAAGACATTTAAAATGAGTGGCTGACGTGCTGTTCAATAAATAAGGAGACAGGCTAATACAAACGCCTTTAGGGGAAGGAAGGAGAGAATTTGCTTACACAACAGGCAGGCATAGAGGAAAGATGGAGATGCACTATTCAGAAATCATAAACCGAAACATCGATGAAACTGCATTGTCGGCATTTTCAAGCAAAAGGTGGTTTAAAAGGACAAAACCTTTCAGGAAGATGCTACGCTGTGCCTGGCATTTAAATGGTTCTTCCACTTGGAAGACAAGATGCCACAGGCCTCTGGCACAAGCCACAACAACATTGCTGGCATCGTGATGTGGCCTCACCAACTGAGCAAATTCTGAAGGGTGTTCATTACATCATGATGGTGTCGCTTGCCCCCATGAATGGCTCTTGGCCCTTTCCTAACCTTTTACCGCAGACGGTGCCGTTAGGGAGATGAAGGGGTCCCGGGAGAAGGGCAAGCTCCGCCTGAAGCACTCGCAGATTCTCGTAGGCCAATTTGCCTTTGGCAGCACAACCAGCCCCTCTGCTGGGAGCAAAGAGCAGCGGCTTCATGCTGCTCCAAGCTCTGCAGGGCACAGCGCTGCTCCATGCAGCCAGCCAGAGGCAAAGCTTGCCAGCCATAAGCAAGACTGGAGAGGCCTGCAAGCGCCCCTCCCCGGTCTCTTCCAAAGCTCTTTTCCTAATTCAGTCAGTCTCCCCCACTCCTCACATGATCTGCCTAAACCCCCCAGGTCCAAAGAAGGGCTCCTCTTGAAGTGTCAGCTGAAGAGCCAAGGTGGGAAAACTCAGTTGATATTGGAACGCCTAGAAACGCAACCGCCCAGGACAGGCGAGGGAGCTTCCCAGGCTCTTCCCACTACAGACACAAGACGGGGATTCCTCTTTAGCGCTAAAGAAGGCACGTGCCTTCCAGAAGGAAGCTTGCACCAGATCAATTGGGTTATGTAAACTGCCCGTGCTTGGAGGTGCAGGTCTTGGGAGGTGATGCTACTTATCTATGCTGCAGGTACAGGAGGGGGAGGTTCCCCCAGAGCACCTTTCGGAAAGGCTCAGCACTCTGTTGGCCCTCGAGATAGCTGGAGCTCATTGATGAGTGGGGGAGCAGCCATGCTTTCCCACTGCTACTGTGGAGCCAGAAATGTCCTGCAAGGCTGAACACCTGGTCCTTTATCCCAAGAACTTACACCGGGGATGGGGACTCGCTTGTGCAAAACACCGCTGGCCCTACAGAGGCCCCAATGGGCTGAAAGAGCTTAAGATGGCACGCCCATTTTGCGAGGTGTGCTCAAACCTCCTGCCTCCGCTGAGGAGGAGCCCCACTGCAGTTGCCCACTGGGGCCCAAGGCAGAGGGAGGGAGAGCAGGGCAGCATCTTGGGCCCTGGCACGGGGGCATTTCCCCATCCCAGTTCCTCCCCTACTTCCAGTCCACACTTGAAGGCCACGTTCAGACTAGCGGAAAGCAAGAGATACAGGGTGCGTATGTCCTTCAGCACACATACATTTTAGCATGAAAGAACCAAGGGCTTCCCTGGGCATCAACTGCTCAGCCAAGGGAGGCGTTCCTGCAAGTGAGATGCCGAGCAATGGCCACCCAGGAGGCCTCAGCTGCCAACAGTCCCCTCAGTTCTAAGGCGCCCCTCGTGCCAAGCATCTTCCCACTGCAGAGAGGTTGGTTGGGGGTAGAGCAGCCAGGCCATTGCCCTGCAGGGCTGGGGCAGCAGAACTGCCCATTTTCCTTCTGCTCAGGCTGAAGAGGGGACAGTAGTAACAGCAGGAGGAGGAGGAATTCTGCCAAGTCCACAAACGGTTGAGGGTTGGAGTAGCTGGAGCCATGAGGGCTGTGCAACCGCAGGGATGCCGAGAAGGACTCCCTAGAAGAGAACCACGATTTAGGCCCATCGGTGAGCAAGCATCTGCTCTGCCAGCCCAGCCCAAACAAGCAACTCCACAGGAGCTGAGAAGTGCCCCCCTGCTTGTTCCAATCTGGGAGTCTTTTATGACACAGATTGTTGATAAATTAACTAGCAACGGTCACAGAGGGCAACCCTTCCAGGAACACAGCCAAACTGTTGGTCTGAGCCAGGCAGGAGCTATTTTCCAGATCTATTGTCATGAATATGCACCTCTTTAGCTCCTCGCCCCATTTCAATGAATTACTAAAAGCAAATTATTTTTCTATTACGAAGAGCTAGCAAGGCCATGCGTTTGGAAAAGAGAAACAGGGCAATGATGGTCATTAGCCTTGCATGTCCTGATCCACCAAGACCACAAAACCAAGTAATGAGAGGGCTGGGTCATTGCCTACCTTCAGGTCACATGGTCCGGCTATATTCAATGCCGCTCTTGGCTGAAATGCCCGACCACGGCAAAAGGCTGCAGAGGATGTTCTGGGCTTGGCGATAAATCCGCTGGGGAATTGTGCAGGGGCTCAGATTGGCCAAAGTTGAGCCGATGTGCTGAAGATAGTCAGTGCCCTGCTGTTAAGGAACTCACCAGATCAGGAGAGTAGCTAAAAGCCAGAAGCAGCAGCCCAGAGGGGATCATGTGGGCCAGCAGTTGCCCACGAGTGCCTTGGCAAAGTGTTGCAACCCAAACCTGACGATTTTGCTCTAAGTATCATGTCCCTGTAAAAAAATGAGCCTCAGACTTTGGCTTTTCCTCACCTGGACCCGGGAGGTCATTTTTCAAAACTCAGACTGGCCGAGGGGCAGCCAGATCATTAGCAAAGGATATAAAATTGTCCACGGCGGGTGTCCCCCATTGATGTAGAGGACATAAGTAAAGCCATCTTTGAGGACCCCTCTGATGGAATAATAGTAGGGCAAGTAATGATGCTGCTTAAAGTCTCTGTTTTCGTAGAAATGTATTGCCGTGTTGTTGGTGGTCAGGACGTGCAGGTAAATGGCCTTGCAGTGATCCTGGGCAGTGGTCGAAATGTGATCTTTCAGGCTTTCCAACAGAAGAGAACCTGCCACCAGACCAGCAGCCATGTTAGAAAGGACCAACCCTCCTTCTCCACTGTCATTATATTGGCACAGGATTTAAACTGATGGATTCATGGATAACTGGCTCTTTATCTGGAGCAGGAATTGCTGAATATTCCTTCGCCGCTGCCAGGCCATCCTTTTTCCATCCTGACAACCTTTAGGTCACACCGGGAATGCACATAGGACAGGGTCTTGCCAGGACAGTGGACACACCATTCAATTACAGAGTAAGTACAGTAAGTACTGTACAGTAAGTACAGTTAAGATCTGCATTTTAAAAAGTAGTGTGCATAATAACAATGCAGCTCTTGCTCTCCTGACACATGTACATAGCCAGTTTTTTCTATACCATTTAAATATTTGCAAACAATACAAATATTAAAAATACAGTTACCTATGCCATGTTTTCGAAATTCTTTCACCACTCCTAGGCTTAAAATGTAAGCAACTTGAGTATCAACTGGAAAGCCAGAAGCTAAAATATCACCATCCTAGAGAGAAACTCAAGAAAAAGACACAGTGAGGATACAGATATACCAAGTCTTTTTTTCAATCCTGCTCATTGCCTATTGGGAATGGTTGGAACAGGAAGGCAGGAAAGGAAGAATTGGGGCCCACTGGCAAATTTCCCCTTATGTTCAAAGGGTTAAAAAAAAAGAGGAAAGAAAACAGGAAGTCCCAAACAAACATTAAGAGGATAAAGAGTTAAAAGGGCAGACCATGAGGTCCGCCCCAAGTCTCTGTTACTGATGCAATCTGCACCCTTTAAAACTTCACAATAAAACCCTGAAGATTAGTGAGTTACACCATCATGGAAAGCACAAGAATGATTTGGTTGGGAGACCAGGATATGTGCAAAGGCCTAAGAGAAGCAAAGACTGTGCAGGGCAGAGCCTCACAATTTACCTCTTTGTGCACTTTGGTTCGGCTCTTGATCTCAGCAACTATCATGCCCACAATGGTGCCACGGTAAGTTGCGGCCAGAGAAAAAAACTTCTGGTTGGAGGTGATGTCCTGATACCATGAGTCAGGGTATCTATGGAAAAGCAGCACAGTTGTGAAAGGAAGAAACCAACGAATTTCACATATACAGGGATACCTATCTCAAACCACAAGCATCCCAATAAAAAGAAAATGTTGGTCATTAAACAGAGTAGAGACAATCTTTGCACTAATTAATTCCCATCAAAATATTTTTGTTTACTAGGAAAATTTCTGAGAAATTTCTAGAATTTATTTTAGTATTTAAAAATTTTAAAATACTAAATTTTAGTAGCATTTACTAAATATATCATGCAGGTTCCAATTTTATCAGAAAATGCAAGATGTTTCCAATCCGGTCTTTTAGGAACTGCACAATTCTGCATGTAGTTTCACTGGCACTCTCTAGCAACCCTTCAAAAACATGTGGGCTTCCTCCCCAGTGGTGCCCAATTCTGTGTTCATGACAGGCTCCCAGCAAGGCAATAACATCTAGATAGGGACAGACTGAATGGCCTTATTGCTGGGTAGGGAATTAAATGAGATGACATTTTCATGAAAACATTATCACCTCCAAATTGTCAATCTTAAGTGGAAACCCAGTTCTATGCTCCCTTTTACACAATTCAAGGACAGATTTCATTCTGGCCCAGCAAGTAGCTGCAGGCAGACAAATGCAACGTACTCAATGGGGAACCAATCACTACAGAGCTGTTTGACCGTGTCTATGTCATCATGACACAAAAGGCGAAGGTATATTTCGCTGAGTGCAGCTGGAGGCACCTCCTCTGTCATTCACACCTGCAAGGAAAAGAGATGCAGTTGGTGGGGCTGAGAGTTTTGTTGCTAAGGTCCTGTTCATCAGCCCTAGCCCAAATCAAGATGTTCTAATACTGCAGGAGTCCAGTCTCCAAAGCCACAAACCTGCTGTTATCTGCTTCTTTTGAGCTACAATCCTTTTTCACAGAAAATTAATGATAAATATTAAGCCAGCGAGGTCTGATGGGCTAAGTAGGCATGGCTAAAACAATGCTAAAGAAAATGTTGTAATAAGACTAAACTAACTGACCAAGTAAAAGAGAGCAAGAGTACATGCACCTTACATGAGATGGTAAACTGACACTTCCCTCTTGAACAAAAATGCCAAAAAGCCACATTAGTTACATGATAAAATTAAAACCCAGCCAGGAAGCTGGATGATTAGAGCTATGTTGCTATTTCATAAAGCACTATAAATAAATAACCATGTACACCTACAGCAATAGACATTTGCCTGTCAGGATCGAGGGAAATTAAAAATGCATGAATTCAGAAATACATTGCGGTCAGTTGTACAGATACATGCAAAGGAAAACAGCAACACTGCTCATCTTTATTCTCTCCAGAACATCTCTAGTTACTCAAAGCATGAACGGTTTACCGTTGATGTATTTAAATGCAAATTTCTATTGCCCGCATAACACAACTGAACCCACACTTTCTTATAAATCAGCCAAGTCCTCCATGCCCCCGGGGACCAGGCAACAAAACTGCCATTAAGCCGGTATTTCCCAACAAGCTTTACAGAAGGGGCTTCTCTTGAAAAGCGCACCGGGCGGACCAGGTTCCCCGCCCGATGCGAAGCAGCCCCGCTCAATGATGGATGGGCGCCCTCAATAAATCCAAGGGCCCCAAAGCCCTTTTATCCCGTTTGCTCTTGGCCTCTTGGCTTCTTTGCCCTTTGACGCCGAGGCGGAAGTCTCGGCCGCCGCCTTCCGCAGCTCTTCTTTCTTCTCCTCGCCCATCCCAGCTGGGAGCTCGCTCGGACCTTCGGGGCAGCGGGGGTCCTCCTGACCCCGGGAAACCCCTGGCCGGCGAAGAGGGGCAGCCAAGCAGCCCCGGAAAAGCCCCGTCCCTCCCGGGAACGGCCTTGCACGGCAGCCGGGACCCCTCGAAGGCCAGCGGCTGCGGGGTGCCGGGCTGTGAGCGGAGCGACCGCGGCTCTCGCCCCGTCCCCGGGGAGAGCCTCCCGCCGCGGCTCCGACCCTGCGAGAAGCGCTGCGGCCCGCCGTGGCCCAGGCCCCCGCCGGGACGGCCCCCCTCACCTGAGAAGGGGCGGCGGCTGCCCCGGCTCCTCGCTCAGCGCATCCCGGACCAGACGCAGCGAGGCGGCGGACCCCGCAATAAGGCGCCGCCCCATTGGCCGCCGCAAAGGGACACCTGACTCGCGTGACCCGAGGAGGCGGGCAGGCGCAAGCGCAGTCCCTCCGCCGTGAGCGCCGCTCCGCCCGGGCGAGCCTCCCCATCCGCAAGCAGTCTACCGGTTGCGGCCTCCGCCTGGGCCCGTCAGTCTACCTCGGGGCTGCTCCTGACCGTGGAACCTCCATCGTTGCCGTTCTCGCTCGAAAGCTGGCACTGCTTCGCCCGGACAGAGACCGAAGCCCAGGAGGGCAGTTCAGCCCCGCTTATCGGCGGAGAAATCCCGGAGTTCTTAGTCCGATGACTCTAAACGGGAATAAATCCGAGTCTGACCTTCCTTCTAACTTGCACTGATATGCAGCCTATCGATTTTCATCTCCAACTACAAATAAATCAGTAAATGCAGCAGCCCTCGGTGGCATCAGAAGCAACCTTCAGAATTACCACAAAACAGGTCACTGGAATAAACAATCTTTAAACTTTGTTGCATCTCAAAAGAGAAATACGTTTTATCACTTTGGAACCTCTGTCCTAATTACATACCTCCAAATTATTCATGGATCAGACCAGAAGGCTGCTTCCCAAAAGCGATTTGGGCAAAATGCCTACTCTTCTCTGCTGCAAAGCCAATTCCTTCCGTTTTGGTTAAGAAATATATAAGCCATGAATGCATATTTCAAAGAATGAAAGAACGTTGCTGTTTAAGTCAGGAAGCAATCTGGCCTTTAAAACAAGCTATTAACAAATTTGTGATTTCTGTGCAACTTTAAGGGTTCAATGAACAGGAATACTGACGTCTCAAGTCCAGTGATGAATCGGGGCCCAGAATGCACCTCCTTCTCCTTCTAACCAAGAAATCCATTTAAGACTAGAAAGGCATCTCTTGATATCAGACACTTTAAAGGGGGGGTGCTTCTTTGCTACAAAATGTAAACTCTTCAAAGTGGGCCTCAACTTATCATAAATATTCCTAATTATAAGTTGTCAGCTAAGTAAAAAGATGTTTGCAGTGAACATTTTCTCTAATCAAATTTGGATTTACTATCCAACTCCTTCTATAGAAAATGCTAGAGACTGCAGGTTTTGAAGCAGAAATGTTGTTTAAAAATGCACTCAGGTTTTTCACATAAAAATTCATCAAAACAGCTTACAAAATGTGATCTAGCTATCATTTTGCCATTTTTACATAACTATCCATCCATTTTGTTTTGGGGGACAGGAAAAAAAAGGTTACCAAAAAGTTTCTTGGCAAAAAAACGAACAAACCCCACAATTTTGCCTTCCTCTACAGTTAGAAATGATACCAAGGCAACAGTAGGAAGGAAAAGACTCTTGCCCATTCAGAAGCTGGAATTGCACATCTTATGGCCAATCCATTACGCCTACATCGGGCTTAATCCCCCTTGTTAAATGTCCAGCACCATCAGTTCTCTCCTCTAAGAAAAGACAATCTCTTTCTCTAAGACCTGTTTCTCTAATAAATATAGAAATCCCCTCCATTCCCACCTCCCAAAATAATGGGCTCTCTTTCTAAGGCTTCCACAAGCCATGGAAAAGATGAAGTGTTGGACCAAGCTGGAGCCGAGCCTTCAGCGAATGGGCCGGTATGGAAACGCCACGCCTGGCATGAAGGCCTGAGCGGGGTGAGCGGCATGGGCAGGGTATCCAAGCGGAGGGGTATGGATGGGGGGATAAAATCCTGGGGGCAGAGCAGCGTGGGCTGGAGGTTGGACTGGACCCGAAATCACCAGCTGGAGCAAGCTGTGGAGGAAGGAGAAGAGACATGCCTCAGTGTGCGATGGGTTAGCATCGTCCCCCTGCCCCGCTTCTGTCAAGTATGGCACCCTTCCTTACTTGTTATGTGGCAGGCCAGAGCACACTGTCCTTAGATTCTCTGAAAGCAGAGGACAGAGTAATCAGAATAAGAAAACCAACATGGTCCGTCTGCTCTATTACCACTGCCCCAGCCGAGACTGCCCCAGGTGGCCTGACCGAAGGCTGCAGGAACAGAGGGGAAATCAGAAGCAGGAAGGAGATCGGGAAATGGAGATGCTCCACTCTGTCCTCCTTGTTCCTCTGCCTGAGAGCAAGGCCTTGGGCTGACCCTTCACATGAATACCTACCCCTTGTCCAAAGCAGCACTCCGGAGGCCATGGACACCTGCAAGACCTGGGCCAGCCGGTCCAGCGCCAGCTCGATCTCCTTGGCTGTGTGGACAGGGTTCAGCTTGTCAGAGAGAAGGCGCACGTCCTCCACCAGGGAAGCCATCTGCTCTCCAGTCACCAGCCCCAGGCGCCCATACAGGTTCTTCTCAGTCAAGTGGCCCTGAAGCAGCATCAGCACCTGGAGGATGCTGAGGTGCAGCCTGGAGTACAGCAGGTGGCAGTCCCCGTCAAGGCTGTCCGGCAAGTCCATTTTCCCACCGAGGGCCCCACTGGAGGGAGGCGGCTTCCGTCTCTTGTAAGCCAACGGGGCTTTCACACACCAGCAGATCAGGCCACAGAGTGGGGTGAGCTCCAGAAAGCCAAGGGGGGGGCTTGTTACAATTGGTGTGTTCAGAAAGGTGATCAGGATCAATCGGGGATCTTCGAAGATCCAGGAGACGACCATCTCCAGCAAATCAGGGGAAGGGATAAGGTCATCTGGAAAAGTGGGTAAAATGTTGGTGGGGAGGTAAGTTGATTCACATGTGGCTTGGCTAACATACGTAGGAACTCTTGGGTGGAAAATAGATTTAGATTTTTTTATCTTACCTTTATTACTTTTACAAGTAATTCAAGGTGGGGAACATAACCAATACTCCTATTTTCCACACAACCACCACCCTACGAGCTGAGTTGGGCTGAGAGACAGCGACTGGTCCAAAGCCACCCAGCCGGCTTTCATGCCCCCAGGGAGGCCTAGAACTCCCATCTCCTGGTTTCTAGGCCAGTATCTGAACTGCTACACCAAAGTGGATCTTGGTTGTTCTAGAACGGTTTGTGTTTACATATTCTAGAACTGGGGCACTAGCATCCCCTTACTTCCAGATGCTGCCTCTGCCATTGTCTGTCACGGCGTTTCAACAATGGCCATATTTATTTCACTACAACTGGTGAGAACCTCTGAGTACCATTTCCCTGTGAAACACCCAAGGCAGCTAATAAGGCAGGAAAGTTAACGAAGACTGAATCTGTGTTAACGAAGCAAAAGAAACACAAACACTCATACAAGTGGCATTTGGTAGACTAGAAGAGCCGACTGCTTAGTCACTACAAGGAACCTACCAAGAGGGTGGGGACACATCAGCACACCTTGAGGAAATCGGGATCCCCGGAAGAAACCCTGGGACCATGGGTGAGGTGGTTCACCCCTGGCCCTGACCAGGAATCTGGGGGCCTTTGTACACACACATTACAACGTCCCAGCCAGGTACACGCATTACGTCCGGCTGGGAATCGTGCGGCACATACAGGATGGCTGGACGTGGGCAAGCAGCCCCCATGGTCCCTCCGGCAGAGAGGAAGGTACCTGAGGACAGGTCGTAGAGCATGACGACGGCCGTGATGAACTGGCAACAGAATCGAGGGCTGGTGCTGAAGACGTGCTGGAGGGTCTGGACGGAGCCGGGCCCCAGGCTGCAGTAGTCGTCCACCAGGGCCCGGGCCAGCCTCACACAGTAGACGGCCGGGGTGCGCTGCAAGAGAGGGGCCAGGCCCGGGTCAGGGTGGGCGGCTGCGATGCCCGCCCCCCCCGCCCATCTCCCGGGGCCGCACCTGCAGCCAGGAGGCCACGCACTCGAGCACGGGCACCCGGCCGACGGCCACGGCCACGGAGACCAGCTTGCCCAGCAGTGCCATGCGGCTGTCGTCCGCCTTGTTGCCCTGCGGGGCGAAGAGCGCTGAGAAGACCACCTGCCGCACCGCCTCCTGGCTCTGCTCCTGGAAGTAGCCGCAGAGGGTCTCCAGCAGCTGCAGCTCCTGTACCGCCGTCAGCCTCTGCGGGCACAGCGGGGCGTCAGGCGCCGGCTGGACCCCGCCGGCCCCCTCGCGCCCAGCCCGCCCGCCCGCCCGCCGCCCACCTTGGGCTGCGCCCCGCCGCGCTCCTGCAGCGCCTGGAAGACGAACTCCTCCAACAGCTCCACCGGGCCCGCGTCCCCGGCCGGCAGCGCCGCCGCGCTCTGCAGCTGCCCGCTGACCAGCACGTCCAGGTGGTACAGCGCCTCTTTGGCGGCGCTCAGCGCGTCCCGGCGAAGCAGCGCGTGGCGGACCTCGCTCATGGCCGACCTCACCGCCGCCGCCGCCGCCGCCACCCGCCACCCGACGGCGGCCCGCCCGGGCCAAAAAGGGCGGAGCTCCGCAGCGCCCCCTGCCGGCAACGCCGCCCGCCGCGCGCACGTGGCCCGCCTGGCTCTGCAGCTCCGTCCTTGAGCGGGTGGCGCGGAGGGGGCGATGCCAGCCCGCCCGCCCGCCGGGAATCCGGGGAGGCCCGAGCGATGCCTCGGCCTTCATGTCCCCGCCATTCAGGGGAGCCGCCCCTGCCGGGCCCCCTGGGGCGCTGCCAGCTGGCCGGCTCGGCCCGGGAGCTGAGAAGCCGGCAGATGCGCTTCAAGGCCCCGATAAGGGTCGCCCCGATAAGGGCCTTGATCCGGAGCTGCGGCTGCGAGTGGGAGAGTCGTGGGCGAGGTGGTCCAGCCCAGGGGGGCAGAAGAGGCCAGGAGTTGCCCCTTCGAAGGGCTCCCCCTCTTCAGGGTGGCGCAGCAGCGCCCGTGCTCGGTTCCTCGGTCCTCCGCTGACAGAAACCGCCCCTCCAGCAGGCTCGGCACCTGCTCACTCCGGGCTGCTGCTTCCACGGGTACGGGCCCCTTTTTGGATTAATGAACACCAGTCCACGTGATCGGACTCAGCGAGCCCATCGAAGAGGAGGATGTTCGTGCCCGTTTTGTGTCCTGCCACCGTTGCTCTGCTCTTCCATGCAGGCATTTGGCATCAGGGTTAAAGTGGTTGATATACAAGCAACAGTCTGGGTGCTATCACTTGGGCAGTTGTCCCACATTTTCTCTGCCGTTGGTGCAATGCCCGTCTGCTGCGAGACTGTATTGCTGCTGACGTGGTCAAGAAGGGATATGCCCAATGCCAGCACCTGCTCAGATAAGGAACAAACAGCTACCAAGGCCAGGGGTCCAGCCTATTTAAGGGAGCTGGGAAATCAGCTACCCCACTAGCGGGACTGGACCTGTGCAGGTAAGGAGCAGCTCTGTCTCTCCTGGAACAGATTTCAAAGCCCCCCTTTGGCTAGCCCAGAGCATAAGGGGACCCCAGCACTAACTCCTTGGCTGGACAGAGGGAGCTGGATGTTCCCACTTAGACATCACCCTAGACCCACCTAGAGAGCTAGTTGGGGGCAGTGGTGAAGGTGCTGGCCAGGACAGGGTGAGTTTGGCCTTCAGTGCCTCTCAGATTGGTCCTTTGGTCCTCAGTTCTTGGCATGCCTCTCTGTGCCTTCACCTGGCTGCCTCTCTACCCTACTGCCTGCCAGGAAAACCGGCCCTAACAATTGGACGCAGCAGTGCTACCTTCAGAAATTCTAAGCCGCATATTGCGCAGGACGGCATCTGTCCAAAATCTTCCTGGGCAGAAATGTTCATTTCTCAGCTTGTTTTTAGCTCATTCACTGCCCAGCTGAGATGCTCGTAACCGCCAAGCCCTGGGGTATCCAACTCTGCCAGCTAACCAAGTGAAAGCCTTCCAAATTCTCTTCTGACTTTCCCCAGGGATGGTGAAGCACCCTCCCCTGCCCCAAATGTAAGCTTCTAAATCCCAGTGGAGTGCCACCTTCTGCAATTTGTAGCAATTCTGTAGCGTTCATGGACACTTGGAGTTATTGAGCGTGGCAAATGCCTCTGTTGTAAGTTTTCAAGCGAATCAAGCAAATTCCCCTTGCATTTGACTGATGGCTGAGCGTACCTGCTGCAGGAGGCTCATGTCACTATGAGCATTGTGCTAGGCCAGCTTTCCTTTTCACCCTGTTTGCATAATGTCCTGTCAACGCACCTGGAATGCTTCTTGGTTGCCCTGGAGGGGAATGGCAGAGAGTGCAAGGCACAGCATAAGAGAAGGCACAGCTGCCTCCTGGGGGCGCCATTATGTCACCTTCCTTGCTCCCTTGTCTTCTACAGGACCAGGCATGAAGACCTTCTTGCTGGCACTCCTTGGAGTGGCTTCACTCCTGCAGCTCACCCTCTCCCTGAGAATCGGCGCTTTCAACATCCGGGCCTTTGGGGACAAAAAGCTCTCCAACCAGACCATCTCCAGCTTCATTGTCAGAGTGAGTCGCTCTGGCTGCACTGGGGAGACTCCCATCTGGCAGCCTGGCCCACCGCCCTCTCGTGCCCATTCATGGCCTAGGTGCAGCATTCCTTGGGCTGGGGCCCCAGCTGCCTCAGAGCTCGCCTGCCCCACTCGGCCAGATCTCTCTCTCTCTTGCCCTGCAGCCCTCTGTTGCTGCAGACAGGCTCCTCTGTTTTGTCCCTCCAGATACTGACCGCCTACGATCTTGCCTTGATCCAGGAAGTCCGAGATGCTGACCTGAGTGCAGTCAAGAAGCTGATGCACCTAGTCAATTGGTGGGTTTCATGACAAAATGTGGAGCCCCCTCCATAAGCAGAGGGAAGGAGGGCAAAGCCTTGGGAACACTTTTTCCCAGTGGGTGGATTTTTCCTGGGGGGGGGGGGCTTGAGGAAGTACAGAGTTCAGCAGGCCTGGTGGAGATGACCTTCATGGTCTTTCCTCCCCAGGGCATCGCCAAATGCCTTCAGCTATCTGGTCAGCAAGCCTCTGGGGCACAACAGCTATAAGGAGCAGTACCTCTTCATTTACAGGTAAGGCCTCAGGTAAGGCCAGGTGGAAACAGATCATCCAGGCAGCTGTCAAGGAGATCCTGAAAAGCTCATCTGCCACCAGTCAGTTTCTGGATCTCAGCAAGTCTCCTTTTGCTCACTATTCTGTGCATTAGTCTCACACACACACACAAACACACACACCCCAGGCTTTGAAGTCCTTTACTGTTGTTGCTTTCTTTTGTATAGAGTAATTATTTTTCTGCTTTGTTCTTAATGGCCTCAGGCATCCTTGGTGGAGAGATGGGAGATCAATAAAAATAAATGCCCTCCATCTTGCCTTCCCCTCTGCTCCTCTCCCTCCCTGCCCTTCCCCATCTGCCCCTCCAGCTTCCGAGGGGCTGATCTTTAGCAGTGGGGGAGGACAAGGGTCACCGGAGGGGGAGAAACTGGTGGCTGCTGATTCTCTTGGTCCAGGCGGGACAAGGTCTCTCCGGTGGAGAGCTACTATTACAAGGACGGCTGTGAGCCCTGCAGCAACACCACCTTCAGCAGGAAACCCTTCATTGTCAAATTTGCTGTCCCTCAAGCAGGTGAGCAGCCCTGTGGTCTTGCTGGGCTTCTCGGGCAGCCTGCAGGCTTGGCAAGCCAGGCTGTGGCCCGCTGGCCTCTTGCTACAGTTCAGTGCAGCAAGGAGTAAAGGCTGGTGCAGGCCAAGCAACTTCTGGGGGAGGGGCAGCCCCACCCAGAAGTCCACAGGAAGTACCTGGGAAAGGCAGGCATTTAGGCTCGGGGGGGGGGAATCTCTTCTGCAAGCCACCTTTCCTTTTTGCCCCCCCCCCAGAAGTGAAAGAGCTGGTCCTGGTGCCCCTGCACGCAGCTCCTGAAGCTGCAGTGACCGAGATTGACGCTCTCTACGACGTCTACCAGGATGTGAAAGGCAGGTGGGGGGCCACGGTAAGCGCCTCTCCTGGAGGGGTTCTAGGGCCCTTCTTTCTTCAACACAAAGATGGTGGGCTGCGAACTGGTGGAAGAGTTGCCATCCACCCCAGTGCTGGGCAGGCACATCCTACTCTTTCCCCTGGCAGGATACTCTCCTCCTGGGAGACTTCAACGCCGGCTGCAAGTACGTCCAGGTGGAGGACTGGCCCTCCATCCGTCTGCGCTCCATCAAGGACTTCCAGTGGCTCATCCCGGACACGGCAGATACCACGGTGACCAACACCATCTGTGCCTATGACAGGTGGGGGCAGGAAGTAGCAGAGGGGGAGATGGCGTGCACCCTTACTGTTTCCTGCGCAGGCGGCAGCTGCTGCATTCAGTGCTTGCCAGCCAGCCATGGTTGGGACCGACTAGTCTTATCACCAGCCAGCTCTAATCAGAGACCTCCTTGGGAAGGCCAGGAGCAGCCTCAGAGCACTTACCTGCCAGGCCCAGATCCTAGGAGGAATGTACTCTTATTTGGGCAGGTGCCCAGCAAGGGCCTCCTGCCCCCTCAACTGGCACAGTTCCGTTTTAAAACCATCTCCCCTTGCTTCGTCTGTGATTAGCAACCCCATCGCCAGTTCACTTCACAAAGCTTTCTGCTCTTCCTGAGCTACCGGTCACCTTTCGGCTTCTTGTGCTCTTTCTCCAACGGTGTCTGGCTGCAGGATTGTGGCAGTGGGTTCAAAGCTGAGAGAGAGCATCTTGCCTGCAACAGCCAAGGTGGACAACTTCCAGAAGACCCTGAAGTTGAGCTCCAAGGATGTGAGAGTTTCTTCATAATTTCTGGGGGAGAGGAGAGAGGAGGGGTGAAACATCTGGCAGAGGTCAGGAGAGGTTGTCTGAACCTGAGAACTGCCTCTGTCCTTGGAACATCCCCCTCCCCCGACCTCTTTGACCCCTTCCAGGAGAAAAACTACTTTGTGAGTTGAAGCAGTTTGAGACCAGGGGATGAAAGCTTGTTTTTTGGATATGACTCCGAGCTCTGCCATAGCCTCCCTCATTACAACAGCGGGCTGGTGTTTCCAAAGTTCTCTGCTTCACCCAAATCTTGATTTCGAGACACATTATGGAAAGTTTGCTTTGTGGCCTGCTGCCCATTCTTAGACCACTCTTCACACAGCAGTGCTGAGCCTGATCCAGAAATTTGGCCCCTGCTCTGACATGTTTTTGCCCTTGGCAGGCCTTGGCTGTAAGTGACCATTTTCCAGTGGAGGTGACCCTAAAATCCACCTGAGCCCCCCTGGCCCAAGAAGGCCACATCCAGCCTGCAGCCCTGTCCAACTACTTCAAAGATGCTGCTCGGATTGCCTCGGAGCCCAGCATGACCCTTCTCAGACCCAGGCGACAGGCGAAACCTCAACAGGTTCTCTTTCTGACACAACAGAAGCTTAAATAATAAAAAGATTAGCTGCCTTCAAATGCTTTTATGGACTTGGTGAGTGACAGCAAGCTGCCAAACTGGAAACATTCATAGAGGGCAAATGAGCACCGGGAGAACATGGATGGCTCCCAGCTGCTAGGAAGGTGCCTCTGCCTGGCCACCCCCCTCCAAGGCAGCCAAGGGCACGTCCCTTCCAGACAGACTGCCCAGACCTTTCTGGGCCCAGGAACTGTGCAGAGAGAAGCTATGCAGCCTGTTGCCCACCCTGGCCTGGCTGCTGGCCGTTGGGACCTCCACCCAGCCTCCTGAAAAGTGCCAGGAGGTACCTTCATCCTGGATGCCTGAATGGCTGAAAGGGGCCATTCCACTCCCTGGGTTGAGGGGCTGCCCCCCCCCCACTCATTGCTGCCTTGGCTGCTCATCAAGAGTCCTCGCCCCTGGCAACCCCTTGAGGCTGAGCCCAGGTCCTTAGCCTGACTCCGAGGCCTCGGGTGATGGGGAAACTCCAGGACTGCTGTTGGCCAGTCATCGGGGCCAAGACCGGAGGTGCAACCCACACCGGCTCGAGAGATTGCAAACCAGGGGCTCGTTCCCAAGGCCACTCACATCCCGTAGAGCAGCCAGTTGTGCAAGGCGCAGCAGCCACAGCAGTTGTGAAAGATGGCTGGCCACTTCCAGTTGCTTTCACCCGTTAGCTCTTCCATCCCCCTCACCCGGTCAGCATCCACCCTGCTTCTGGGTTTGTGCACCTGTCAGGCAAATGGGCATCTTGGACACAAAGGCTGGACGCACACATCGGATGAGACCGTAGTCGCCACAACTGAGTTACTGTAATCTAAGGACCACCCACCATGACTGGGTTCACGTGCGACACCAGGCCCAAAGCAGATACATCGTGTGTGAATGCAAAGGGTCTGGCTGCGTAGACATCTCTAACAGGCCCTGCTGAGCTCCCAAGGGTTACCTGGATTCCCTCAGGCCCAGTTCGAGCATTTTGGAACTGGGGGTGGCCATCTTGGTCCACAAACAACTCCATTGCTCTGTTTTGAATCAGGACCCTCATCCCTGCCTGGGAAGAGCAAGCAGGGGGCTCTACCCCTCCTATCCCCAATGGGCATTCACACCCACTTCTGCCTCCACTGACCCCAAGGATGGATCCACAGGACAGTCTCCCCTTTGTCTTCCAAGGCTGCTGTTCAGGTTGCTCCACGTCCCACCCCAGCCAGCTTCTTGCACGGCACACTCAGCCCTCAGCAATCCTGCTCGGCACGTTTTCCACACTCCATTTTAAAACCCAATTTTAAAATCTGAGTGACAGTTCTATAATTGAGAAGTCACTGGGCAAACCAAGGATAGACTCAGTACTTTGGGCAAGAGGCAGTGAGTCTCCAGCTAAAATCCAACTGGTAAATTCTCGGCAAACCTCCATGCTTAGCAAGTTCAACCTGTTGACCATCCAAGAGTTGAGCAATGGTTCTGTGTGGGAAGGAAGGAAGAGCAAGCCCTGCGCAACAGTTCCTGCGGCTTTGATGAGCCAAGAGCTGCCGAGGCTTTGCTTCCCAGGGTGGAGTCGGCAACGCTCGGAGCATCCTCTCCGCCCCCACCAGGGCAGGGCCCTTGCATCACTGCAGCCAAGTGGTGGTGGGGGCATCTCCTCCCCTTAATACCTGGTGCAGTTTTAAACTGAGGGAGAACCTGGATACGCCACGGCTCGGAGGGAATTTAGAGGCTCTTCCAAGCCACCTTTGGACTCAGTTCAAGGTAGGTGCCTCCTTGGTGGAGGCCTTCGAATCTCCCTGGCTCTGCCCCTGGGGGAGGGAATGGCCATTTCTCATTTCTCACTCCCTCTTCGATGGGGGTTCCTTCAAGGAAATGAACTGCTGGTAGGATTGGCACAAAGGTTTTGGTGCTCGCAGCCACAAAACCTGGGAACAGATTGGCAATGGTCAGCAGCTGGGATGGCTCTAATGAAGAATAAGCTCTCTCACAGAAGGGGGAAAGTAACACTCTGACCACTCTAGTTCCTTGCTCAGCCCCTAAGGTGCCCTGCACCAGAGGCCCTCCATTGTAGGGAGGCAGTCCAAAGTCCAAGCTGCGGACCAGCGGCAAGGAAGGGACCCAGCAGCAAAGCGAGGCAGTGCCAGCAGGAAGGGCTCAGCCAGCTGCTTCCCCAGGTGTAATGGGTGAGGGAGGAAAAGAGCGTGGCTGCCCCAAAGGAACTGGGGAAATGAAGACAGGCAGTGCAGCAGAGTGGTCAGCTTGAGCATGCATCCTTCATTATGTTACTGAACTGGTTTGTTTGGCATTTATTGTGGGCAATAAATACATTAAGTCAGATGACAATGATGTCTTGTCCGACCCATCAGGACCCCATGGACAACATTCCTCAGGCCTTCCTGTCCTCTACCATCTTCTGGAGTCCATTTAAGCTCACACCTATAATTCAGTGAAATCTGCTGGGCTTTTTTGGTCTTCTCTGCTGAATCTCTAAAGAGGCCAGAGATGCCATCTGCCATCAGATGGGCAGGGGAACCATAGTGCAGGGCTGCAAAGCCGAGCCCCAGGGACTGTCTCAGGCTCCCCATTTGGGGAGGAACTGGGGTGAGCTGCATACGGTCAGACGAACAAGATTCCCAGTCTGTGTCCTCAGGAAATTCAGGAAGATCTGGGCTGACTTTGCAAGAGCCCCAGGCGGCCCAGAATGGCTTCCGTCTCGAGTTGCCCTAAGGGGAGCTTTGGAGAGGCTCTTCAGATGATCTGCTGCTCCTGCATATATCGTGGGTTGCACTGGGAACACGCCTTGACTATGAAAGCGGACAGAGCAACGGAGAGCCATCTGTGCACTGTCAATGCAGCCCCACCACAGGTTGGGAAAGCTGAACAAGAAGTCAAATTGCAGGTAGCCACTCTCTGCCTCGCCCACACCCCTCCTCCTTTCTCCCTCCTTCAGGCAGCAGCATGAAGCTAGTGGCCATCCTGCCTGGGCTGGCCTTGATGCTCCAGACAGCAGTGGCCCTGAAAATCTGTGCCTTCAACATCCGGAGTTTTGGAGACAGCAAACTGTCAGACCAGAGTGTTTCCAAAATTATTGTGAAGGTGAGGGCAGGTTAATTCTCCACCACTTGCACATTAGGGGTCAGATGGCAGGCCAGCTCAGGTGACTTGTCAGTAGCCACTAGGCATCAAAGTCAAACGGAGCCTGCCCACTCAAAGGCCGTGGTGCTGAAAAGTATGGTGGGAAGAAGGGCCCTCCCAGAGATCCGCCTCGGGGGGCTGCTGGCTCACACCTGGCTAGGGGGCCCTTCTGCCCACCTCCCCATGCCAGCACCTGCTGTTCACACCCAGGCTCTGCTCGCCCATTTCAGATCCTGTCCAGGTATGACCTTGTCCTAGTGCAAGAGGTGAGGGATACCGATCTCAGTGCAGTCCAGGAACTGGTGGAGCGACTCAACAGGTAACGAAGCGGGTTGGGATTGGCAGGACAAGGAGTGGGGTTCATGGCTGGTTTTCTCCCTTGCCAAATGTACTCTCGGGGGTGAAGCAGTGCCCACCTGGTTTACGCAGCAAGGACTGAACAGGAGGAACTCTGGGCAGGTCGTGATCCCTGCCCAGCTTGGAAAAAATACCCTAAGTGCTGAAAGGGCCAGCCTGGGATGGGGGGGTTGCTTGGTTGCCCTGTTCAAATCACAACCCTGGGGTTGGCGCGTTCCGGTTCTTCTCTTGCAGGGCCTCCAAGCACTCTTACGACTACGTGATCAGCGAGTCACTGGGCCGGGAGAACTACAAAGAGATGTATCTCTTCCTGTACAGGTAGGACTTGCAGAAAGTGCCCTTCTCAGAAAGCGAGCTGGGCGAATCGAGGATAATTTAATCCAGGATGCAGACAAAGCTTCTGATAATGTTTCTCACTGTGGGAGCCGGCCCCTTTCCCACTCCTCTCCTTCTTTCACTGCCTCGGCTTCTCTTCCAGGACACAGAGCTTCTCTCTTGTGAACCAGTACCAGTACCCCAACCCTGACAGCACCTTCAGCAGGCCTCCGTTCATTGTGAAGTTTGCTGCTTCTGGCTCAAGTGAGTGAAGCCAAAGGCTGGACCAGCTTCACACCAGATTAAGAGCGGTCGTTGACTGCAGTCCAAGCCAGGGAACAAATAGGACTAAGGAAGGAATGCTCTGGGAAAGCAGGCAGGAAACCAAGGGTCCAAGACAACAGTCCAGAAAACAGATCCACAAGGCAGCACCTTCCCAGAGCAGCCATTCCTGTTCCTTCCCTAAAGGCTTCAGAGCACGCTGATCCTGTCCTCTCCTGGGGACAATCGTGGAACCCGTGCCATTTGGGGCACTGACTTGGTTCTTTTGCAGAGAACGAGCTGGTGCTGGTGCCCCTTCATACCCCCCCAAATGAGGCTGTGGCAGAAATCGATGCTCTCTACGACGTCTATCTGAAGATCATTGACAAATGGCAGACTGACGTAAGTAGCTGGGTTCCACAGGGCGAGGAGAGACCCTGCCGCTTGCTGTGTGTGTTGCAGGCAGAGAGGGGAACCCTTATCCGGTATCAGTACCCACGTCGTTCTGCTGCTGCTGCAGTAAATGCAGAGAACTGATGCAGACGACTGCCCTACCGCAGCAGCAGAACGATGTGGGCACTGGTACAAGGTAAGGCTTCAAAAAACAAGCCATTATTCAGGACATTTTTTGGCCCGTGCAGAGGCTTCTGATGGATCCACTCAACTTCTTTCTCCAAACTGGCCTCCTCCAGAAGTGCTGGGAGTCACAGTCACAATCTGAGGCTGGCAGGAGGAAGGAGGCTGGGTGCCAGTGTTGCAGTCTTAACAAAAGTAGCATCAGCCTTTACTGTCCCAACTGTACAGCTGGGAGAGGGCAGGAGGAGAGTTAATCAGGGCAGCCAGCTGGCCATCCACAGAGGCAGGGAGAGCCCCAACCTGGGCAATCCAGGAAACACACAAGAAGTCAACCTCCGCACCTTTCCCCTGACCTGTTGCTTGGCAGAACATTATGTTCCTGGGGGATTTTAACGCCGATTGCAGCTATGTGGGGAAGAAAGACTGGAGCTCCATCCGTCTGCGCACCAGCGAGGTCTTCAAGTGGCTCATCTCAGATGACACAGACACCACCGTGGGCAACTCTGACTGTGCCTACGACAGGTGAGGGGGGCAGTGGCCCTTCACAAATGCTGAGGGCAACAGCTCTCCAGTACCCAGGACTGGCATCAGAGCCCAATTGTCCTCCCCTCTGGCTCCCAGAGACCCTCTTACAAAGGGGCACATCCCCAAGGAAAGCTCTCCTTCACTGGCATCATATTTGTGCTTTTAGGATTGTTGTGAGTGGCTCGAAACTGAGGAAGTGGATTGTGCCCAAGTCCGCTAAAGTGTTTGACTTCCAGAGGGCTTTCAAGCTGAGCCAAGAGGAGGTAAATAGTCACCCTGGAAATACTGACAATTCTTTAACTCGTCTAAGCGTTCCAACTTAAGACCCAGAAAGATGCCAATCTACAACTAAGGATTATTAATTAAAACTACTGCCTACCTCCTGGGTACTTCAGATCCCAGGCAGAGGAGAATGGTCACCACAAAATGATGCCAATGATTTGAAGTCTGTAATCACACTTATCCTGGTGTCCATCTCTTGGGTGGTGGTGTGTGTGTGTGTGTGCGACAAAGGCTCTTTTTACACTTCTACCTGATGTGGACCCCTCAAATCAGGGATGCAAAGTCAGCCCTTGGATGTAGCTCCATGCCCTGCATCACACAAGCAATCCCTCTAGTGATTTCAGTTCTGCTCCATGCCCCTTTTGTGCTTGTCACAACCTCAGGGCTGCCCCCAGGGGCAGCTTGGCCTCTCAGCAGCCAAGCTCCTAATGCTCTGTGTGTGTGTGTGTGTGTGTGTCTGCCCGCTGTCCCAGAGCCCCAATCAGCCTCCTTATGCTGTCCAAGGGCTGCCCTGACCTCTCTTGCTTTTTCCTTATTGTAGGCTCTGGCTGTCAGTGATCATTTCCCAGTGGAAGCAGAGCTGACATCCCCCTGAAGTGCTCTGTGGCCAGGCTGCACTGCCTTACCAGAGTGGGCCAAGAGGGGGTATAGGGCATCATGCCACAGCCCCAACCACCCTGCAGGAGCCAGTGCCACATATCCTGCCTTGCATGTCACCTATGGATTTCCAGTGAGTTGGGTTCCTTCTGGGCCTCGTGTTGACTGGGATCTGGGCTCCTGAAGGAAGGGCTTCTTCCACGTTTCTGAGCTGGAAATGCGCTTGGATCTCCTCCACAACTGCTTCAGCCTGAGCGGTAGCCACTGCCTCCAACAGAAGCCCATCTTTCCAGCTCTTTTTCTGTTGGGTCTCCCTCACCTCCTACTTTCCAGCCCCTGCTAAGCCAGAGGCAAGCAGAGGCCGCTAGAAAGACCAGGATGCCCGCTTCCCAGGTCAGGTCTCCCTCCAGCCAACTGGACAGGCCTTGTCCTTTCACACAACTGGAGGGGGTCCAAGTGGGGAAGGCTGCGATGTGATCTTGTAACAGGCTGGAGATATACAGCATAAATCCTTACTTGGCTACAAAAGTTTTTTGTGTAATGATGGGTTGTGCAACTATGCCTACAGCTTTTGGACAAACAGCATGATAAAAAAATAGTGACTCAGCAAAACAGTTCTGCTTTTTTTTTAACAGACAGAGTCATCCATTCAGAAAACAGCAGAACTCAAAGGAATTTCTGCTCAGGGTGCGGAGTACAGAACAAACAGCCACCTGGTGAACTTTAAAAGCATTCAAGCCACTCGGGGAAGGCAAACTCTGCTCCCCAGTTCCCGTAACTGATGAGAACAATCCCTGTGCAAATAAAGCAGCTTGAGCAGCTCTTTAGAACATGCAAGACCACCTTCAAAGGAGAAATTGCTTTAGATGCACCCATAGAGAATCAATCCCTAGATACGAATTCCCCAAAGGCTGGAAAAAAGAGACCAGTCAAATAGAAAATTGCACACATAAAAAACTGGGGAAGTTTCTGGCAGTGGCCATCCACACTGTTCTACTCTCACAACCAGATGCCCCAATGGGTGCCCTGCTCCCCCCGCCACCCCAGGACACCTCACAACAATTATCTGAACCAGTGAGGCTGCTACAATAGGGTGGGGGGAGGGGCACCAGTGTGCAAAAGGCCGAGCTAGAAAAGGCGGTGCAGTCAAAACCCATATAGGCAGTGGGGTGGCCAGAGCAGCCACGGTAGGCTTGCTTGCTTGGCAAAGATGGCTTAAAGAGAAACAGATCCAGAGGCATTCCCACCAGCAATGAGGTAAACAGTCTCTATTGTTAAGGATTTATTGGCAACTGGCATTCCACCTGTTTCTTAAGAAGACAAAAAGCTAAACACTCCCGGGTAGCCTAGCTGCCTTCCCACAATCATTTCTAACCTGTTCCACCATCAGCTGAGCCCTGAAGTACAAACTCCAGCGACAAACTATGCAAAAGCCATTAAAGTCAGATATCACACATTCAGTCTTCCGAGGCCAGAATAAGGCAATGGTGAGGCTGCCAGGGAGACAGCCCTCAAGCTCTGACAAGCAGGAAGGCTCACCCCTCAAGCCTTCTGTCTCAACATCTCCATGTACTTCTGGAGAGACTTCTGAATAGCATCCCTGGAAATAAAGCGCACGAAGTCCTGGATGTCAGCCTCGCGATGCATCAGCAGGTGGTCAAGTGCTTGCTTCCGTAGGGCGGACTTGGTCAGCTGTCGGGAGTGATCTAGGCACAAGGACAGGAAAAGTAATGAACAGGAGGGCTCTGAGGCAATTAGGTTCTCCCTAGGCACAAGCAAGGAGTGGGGCGGCCTAGAGTCCTGACCTCAAGCAGGAGTCTAGGCCTGGGTCTCCCACCTGGAATGGCTAGCCACTGGGCCATGACTTCTGCAGCTCTGGCTTGGATCTTCTCTTCAGGCACCAAGTCATCCACAAGACCAATTTTGAGGGCTTCTTGTGGAGAATACAGGAGTCCCAGCTGGAGAGAGCGCTCGGCGGCCCTATGACCAACAGTTTTCACCAAAGAGTCCCTCAGCCTGAGTACAAAAGAGACATTCAGACAGAAAGTGTCCTCCAGCTACTGGAGCCAAGCCAAAGCTGGTTTGGCTTAAAAAGAGGCTGACAAGAGCTGGGAAAGATCCTGCTGTTTGCACAGCCTCCTCCATCCCTCACCAAAAAGGGGCAACGATGCCCAATCTTGTCTCATTCAGACCAATGCTGTACTTCGGATTGTCAGCCATGATCCGGTAGTCACACGACAAGGCCATGAGGCAGCCTCCAGCGGGGCTGGAACCCTGCGAGGAACAGAGCTGCATTGGCCCACGAGCGGCCTTGGCGGGGGTCCCTGCCAGGCCTGCCTCACCATTGGTTGGCACCCCCCCCTTCCAGCCTCCCAGGGCCCGAGAGCCTCGGAGGAAGGCAGGCTTCAAGGGACTATTGCAGGCAGCTGCAAACGGATCAGCAAGGAAAAACCTCTTCGGGGGGGGGGTCGGGGGGAGCGGAACTGCTGCCATTCGCGGCTGGTCAGGGGCATAGCCCCCCCCAGATCAAAGCAGCGGCCTTTCCCATTTTCGGGAGGGGGGAAGCGGAGCGGAAGGGCCCCTTCACAGGCAAGCAGGGCCGCCCCGGGTCTGGGCTCTTCCTGCAGCTTGGGGAGCCCCGTCCGGCGGGGTCGCCCAGGCGCGACTTACGTTGACGGCGGCCACGGTGGCCAGGCGGCTGCCGCAGAGGAGGATCCAGAGTTGCTGCACGGCCCTCCAGAATTCGCCCAGGCGCTCATCGCTCCGCCCGCACATCTCCGTCACGTCCAGCCCTGCCGAGAAGATCCCGGGGACGGCCTGCGGGGAAAGGCGCGCGCGTCTCTCTCGGCCGGACGGACGGCCGCCGCCCGCCCCACCCCGGCCGGCCCCGACCTACCGAGGCGATGACGAGGCCGCGGCAGGCCCGGTGGTCCTCCAGCTTCTGCAGCGCCAGGCAGAGCTCGGTCAGCAGCGCCAGGCTGAGCCCGTTCACCGGCGGCTGCTGCAACCGCACCACTGCCACGCCTGCGGGGAAGGGCGCGTCAGAGCCCGGCGCAGACCCGCCGCCCCGCTCCGCCGCCGCCGCACTACCCACCCGCGCGCTCGTCCAGCTCCACCAGCACCGGGCTGGCCCCGCTCATCGCGCGCCTCGGCCCCGCAGGGAAGGCCAGACGAGTCAGCGGGCGCGAAAAGGCCCCGCCAGGCCCGGCCAGCCGTCCCACCAGCCGTCCCACCAGCTTCCCCGCCATCGCCGCCGCCATCTTGCTCGGGATTGACGTGCCATCCGCCCCAAGGACGTCCCGCCGAAAGGACGCGCGGCCGCGGCTTCTCGGGCGCTCCTGAGCATGCGCGGGCTGCGACGCTCTCCGGTCACGTGCCCGTGACGCATCTGCGCGCCGGGTCGCCGCGTTTGTTTCCGGAAGTGCTGGCGCGGCCGGTGGGGGTGCGACCCGGCGCCAGGCGGGATGGAGATCACCCGGGGCAGTGAGTGGCGGCGCCTCCGGGGGCGGGCGGGGCGCGGGGGAGGGGAGGGCGGAGGCGGCGGGGCCCCGGCTGACCCTCGCTCTGTCCGCAGATTTCAAGAGCGCGCTGGGCACCGTCTACCAGGCCGTGGAGGACGCCGATTTCCTGGCCATCGACGGGGAGTTTTCAGGTACCGCGGCCGACCCGCCAACCTCCCCCCCCGTCTCCCCCCGGGCCACGAGCCCCGCTCGCCCCGGCCGAGGCCTCAGGTCTTGCTCCGCTTGCAGGCATCAGCGACGGGCCGTCCGTGAGCGCCCTGACCAACGGCTTCGACACGCCCGAGGAGCGGTACCAGAAGCTGCGGAAGGTGAACGGGCGGTGGGCCGGGGGAGCCTCGCTCGAGCCCCTCCGTTGCTCCCGGAGGGAACAGGCGCGGCGCTGTGAAACGCCGGGGGGCGCCGCGCCGCCCCCCCCGGCCAGCTGGACTCAAGTCGCCCTCCCTTCTCCTCCTCCCCCCCCTCCCCCCTTCGGAAGAGGTGCTGCTTGCTGCTTTCCCCCTTAAATCCCGAGTTTGGGCTGCTGCCAGTAAGATGGCTCTGAATCCTTCCACGCCTATTTTTTGGAAGCTGCTCGATTTCATCCAGCTTTAGTAGTTGAAGCACCAGAAGTTTCACCAGCCCTGAAAATCAGAAGAAAACTAGAGCAGCCGCCTCCGGCCCTCAGTAAAACATTCCAGAGTTTGGATAATCCTCCAGTTTCTCTGAATGAATAACTGGTTGCTTAGAATTCATGTTCATTTCTTTTTCCACCCAGCATTCCATGGATTTCTTGCTGTTCCAGTTTGGCCTATGCACTTTTAAATATGATCACACAGAATCTAAGTATGTCCTCTTGGTTTTTAAAATTAAGTGTGGTAGCACATATAACTTGTAAACTGATTTTCAACCGTATTTTCTTTTAGGTATATCATGAAATCATTTAACTTCTATATTTTCCCCAAACCTTTCAACAGAACATCACCAGATGTCAAGTTTGTCTGTCAGGTATATATGTATTCCCCCCCCCCCCCCCGTTCCAATCCAAAGCAAAATCTTCCACTACCAAGTCAGTCTTACATAAATGCAGTGCTGCAAGCTGCATAATGTTTTCTTTATCATTAGGAAGCTAGATTATAAGTTATTAAAAATATGTTTTTTAAAGTCAGAAGGATCTTGTCAATTTAAGAAAAAGTTTCATAAGGGTGAAGTGGCTGCAGAGGAAAGTATTTTTTCCTTTGCATTCTCAGTACTTCAGTGTCGCCCACAGATGTGGTTTCCAGCCTGATGTTGGAGAAAAAGTAAATGGCTTGGAAGCTTCCTTGTGCCTTGCACCAAGATGAGCACTTTGAATTGTATCCGGGAGATTGTAAATGTATTGCTTCGTCAAATGAATAAAATATATATAACCTACCATGAATTGGCATTAATTTCATTAGATTGAAATCACTTGTAGAATTATCCATAAATCTGTTTTCCTGTTTTTCTTCCAGAGCTCAAGTATAGATTTTTTAGCAAACCAGGGATTTGATTTTAATAAAGTTTTTCGAAATGGTAAGTCTTTTAAAAGTATTTTAAAAGTAACTTTGTATTTCTATAGCTGTAACTTCAACTTCTTTCTTTCGAGTATTGTGCAATCTGATCATGGAGAAAGAACGTCATATTTTATAGTAGTTTGTGGTTAAAGCTTAATTCCCATCAATGAGAATTCTATCCCACCAAGAGAGTTAAAAGTTCTATTCCAATGCATCTGGAGGAAACTAGGATAGGAAAGGATGACTAGATGCCCAGCTGTTTAAATTGGAAGAGTTTAAACTGAGAACTTCATCTGAGTCCCTCCCACCCACTCATCCCCACCTTTCCCCCTGTTTTTAAGGTATCCCTTACTTAAATCAAGAAGAAGAAAGACAGTTACAGGAACAATATGAGGAGAAGCGCTCTCAAGCCAATGGGCTTGGGGGTTTGGCCTATATGTCACCTGGTGCTGCCAAGCCTCCATCAGCTGTTCCTGACGATCAGAAGAAATTCATTGAGAAAGTTGTGTAAGTGAATATGCAGTCTCTACTTGGAGAGGGACTCAGAACACCACTGGTAATTGTTGCATTTAGGTTTTCAATTATTTCCTGTGCTGGACAAAATTTTGCCAGGAAGAGAATCCTCTTGTTGCCATCTGCCAGACTGGAAATGGATTTGCAGCTTATCTCAGGCAGAGGGGAGGCTGATAGAGGCTGACCACCTCAGTACATTTCTCTGCAGCACTTTCAGCCATAAAGACCCTGCTTTGGGCTCCTGCATGATCAGGGTGTGGGGGTTTTAACTAGGGACAGGGCCTTCACACATGTAGTGCCCACAAGGCTCTTCAGGAGGAGATTGTTATGAAGCCTGTCCATCTGCATTTGCCTGCTTAAGTATCCCTCGATTCTTTGTTTTTGCTGATGCTACATTTGTGGGGATTTGGTTATGTTGGTTCCTTCCTTGTTGTTTTACCCACTCACCCCATTTACTTTGAATTTCTGAAAGTACTGATTTTAAATCAGTACTTTCAGAAATTCAAAGTAAATGGGGTGAGTGGGTAATTTGTGATAATGTGCACAGTGAGGATCCAGTTAATAGTAAAACTTGTCAGCTCTCCCATTTTGGGGAACGTGAGCCATCACGGACTAGCAGGGGGATGATGGTTCTACCTTCCCCATTGTGGGGGGAGGCCAGCCAGAAAGGAGATGCCTTCTGCTTCTCTCCCTCTTTTCAGAGAAAGGATAGAAGATCTCCTGCAGAATGAAGAAAACACCACCGTGCAGCTGGAACCGTGCACCGGGTTCGTTCCTCTGGGTCTTGGGCAGAGTTTTGAGTAGATGAGGCTGGTTGGGCAGCGAAGAGGAGGGGAAATGGCAACCTTAATATCTTTCTCTTCCTCTCTGTAGATTTCAGAGGAAGCTAATCTATCAGACGCTGAGCTGGAAGTGAGTGGTGCCCCTGGCACCGGTTGCTACAAGGAGATTCTCCGCATCTGGGGAGCCACAGCCGGGCGTGCTATATCCTTGGGGGGGGTGTCACCATCTCCTGGGTGGGTGTTGATGCAGAGCTCCTTGCCAGAGCCAAAGAGCCAGGCGGCCAAGTCTGCATTTTTTTCTTTATTCGCCAAGCATGGAGTTTACACTGATATTTCTGTTTCTGATGTTATTGCCGATCGTGGCATTTTCTTGATTATTTTCTTTTCTGCAAACTTAAGGAGGATTATTATTAATCCTTTTTTTTTCAATTTCACCATAGGTATCCAAAAGGCATCCATGTTGAAACTGTGGAAACAGAAAAGGTGACTAGTTCTGCATTTTCCATTTCACACCTTGGTAGGACTGTGGGATTCTCCAGGCATCTGTAGGAGAATTTCAGTGGGCAGGTGGCAGCTGCTCCTTTGCTGGTGTGATCTGGGGCAAAGCCCTTACAAAAGAGAGACCTCCAGGAGGATGGCTCATGTATTCGCCTGCCACTTCTGAACCTTGAAGCTGAGAAACAGTATTTTAAAGTAGCTTTGCCTGGCCTGCTGCCCTCCAGATATGCTGGGGTGGGAACTTGTAGGATTCTCAGGCAGGACGTCGAGTTAGACTGGGAAAACCATGTGAGAACGTCGGATTGATTCTCCCTCCTCCCCCACCCAGGGATTTGACGTGTAGCGCTGTGTAAGAGTGCTCGGTCATTGTGCCCTTGCTTGCTTGTGCCTGCATTAACCTTTGTGGCTCTTAGAAGGAGCGATACATGATCATCAGCAAAGTGGACGAAGAGGAGCGCAAGAGAAGAGAGCAGGAGAAGCAAGCAAGAGAGCAGGCAGGTGCCCCCAATGCCTCTGTCGGGACAGGGACGGGCTTGCTGGGCTGCGGACAGTCTCTCAGCTCCAGTGGGAGAAGCTGATTCGCAGGAATGCTGGGCTGAACCAGGCAAGGGACTCACCCTGGGCTTTTCACTTGCAGGAAGAGCTGAAGGATGCAGTGGGGTTTTCCCGAGTCATTCATGCCCTTGCAAATTCTGTACGTTTGTTACTTTCTGGTGTGTATATGTGTAAAATGAAACCAAATGTCTCTGTAATAGAAAAGGTCCCAGGCCTTGAGGTGGGACATAAGGCAGGGCCTTGGAAAGGGGCAAGGGGGACTGGGATTAAAAGAGCCACAAGGGCATGAATCTCCAGGGCAACTGCCCCACCTATGGTGAACGAACCCTTTCCTTCAAGCCCTGTCAATGCCCATCTCCAAGCGGGTTATGGGGAACTGTGCCCCAGGCACGGAGTGGCCATCCAAGGTGGCTCTCTGGCAGTGCTTGGTTTGTGCCGTGGACTGTTTATTTAGGTAGCCACCTGCGTGGTTTAATGGATCACCCAAAGTATTTTTTAATTCTGTGGGTTTTTTCTGTTACTTGTTTTCTTTAAATCGCTTTAAGGCTTTTCTTTTTTGTAAAGTGCCTTGAAGTCATTAGGGAAAGTATGCATGCCATCAGCAGCTGAAGTTAGCCAGGAACGTACTCGAAGCCAAGGTACCGTGGTGGGGTGGAGGACATGCTGTGCCTCTGCCTGAGCATTGGACTGGGTTGCTTCTCCACAGGGAAAGCTCGTGGTCGGACATAACATGTTGCTGGACGTCATGCACACCATCCACCAGTTCTACTGCTTCCTCCCCGAGGTTGGTGGTTTCTTCCTTGCGCTGAAATCTGCTTTTCCTCGAAATGCCCTTTGGAGGAAGGTCACTTCTTACCCCCTCCGTTCAGCAGAGGCTCAC